TTTGTGAGTCACAGTCAGGGCTTGGGTTTTGGAGATCACTTTTCTGCTATCTCTTCAAGTGAGGGAATTGCCTGAGGGGTATTGCTTCCTCCCCTTGGAATTAGCAGGGAGATATGACTTCTTGGGCTTTTAGTGCTACAGAGCAAAAATCAACCTAGGAGAAGCTTTGTGTGGAGGTAAGGGAAGGGAATAGTTGCAGTCTAATTCTGAATAATGTGTGTCTCTCTGTGTGTGCATGTGTATGCAGCTACTTTTACAATACAGGCAATACAAACATTTTGGACATATTTCTCCTCTCCACCAGACAGAAATCTAGAGTGTACATAACTTGCTGTGGCAATCACTCCCAAATACAATTTTTACAATAAACTGATTACAATATAAATGAGACAAGAAAGAAAACCTTACAATGAATTTCCACCCTCCCCCATAGTCTTTCCAGCTGTCTTCTGGGAATTGAAAAGAATCTTTTGGTCTTTACTTGTACATCTCAGGGTCTTTTCTTTCATGTCTGCTGGGTAGCATGCTTGGTGGTAAGGCTGGTCAGTCAGGCTTGGAAAGGTCTGCTCCACTCTGGTTGCTGTGCTGACTTTCAGTGGAGGCTGGATTCAAACCCAATTCCTGGTTCAAACAGATGGAGGGTCTCCTTTGGAGGCAGCATCTGGATCCATGTGCTCTGCTTCCACAGGTTGCAGAGTCCTTTGTGCAGGGCTGAAAGACATTAGAACAGGGTCCCCTCCCACCTTTTGTGGGTAATCTTCCCAGGAAAGGCAATGTAACAGGATTAGAGATGGGCGGGGGGTAGATAGCTTGCAGGCAGAGTTTGAAAAGAAACAACACAACAATATTGCAGTTACTAAACAGATAATGCAGTTTCAACAAAATGGAGACACAACAGATAAGAAAAAAACTGGATTCACATGCTTCAGGAAAGAGATGAACAGGTAAACCCATTTTAAACACATACAGTAAATGCAAGACTGATTTTTTTCTTGTAAACAAACTTAAAACGTTTCCTCATAAACTTGAGTTGTTACTTTAAGGTACAGAGAGGAGGAGAAAAAAAACCAGAAATAAAATGTCTCCTTACTCTGTCTTTGTTGGCCAGACAAACACAGGGCAAAGGCTCTTTCTTTCTTTTTTTTCTCTCTCCCCATTTTCATTGCTTCAACCTTTTTTTTTTTTCCTTTTCTAACAATTTAAAATTCTTGTCTCTAGAGATCAGATACATTTTACAGTTACAATTACCTCGAGGGTGCACAAAGACTTAGACACACACACATAAAACAAGGAAGACAAAGAGAAGAAAACAGAACTCTGAGATTTCACACACACTGATCATTCCCACGTAAATCTCAGTTAAATTAGGGAAGGCACAAATCTTAAACATACCACGTGGTTGCATAGAAGACAGAGAGACAAACAAACAAACAAAACAGACAAACAAAACAAACAAACAAAAACCCAACATTCCTATTTATATATTTCCCTTTTCTTTTAAGTACCTTTATTTAGCCAAATTTGTCTCCCGGTGTTATCTCTTAGCAAAGCCCATTTTTGACACAATTTTCCTAATTTCCTTTTATCCATGCCCTCAATATGGGCACCCGCCTGGCGTCCCAGGCCGCGAGCACTTCATCTACTGGGGTCCCCGCCACCCGCGAACTATCGCTACCCATGACCCTTTCCTTTTCTCCGGAAGGATCACTTCGACTTAGCCGGGTGGCCCGCCTCAAGTTTGCAGAGAAAAAGCTCTGGGAAGGACTTCGATTCCCTTACGAAGTACGGGCCCCTTCCATAGGGAACTCGCCACAGTTTTCAGATCCAAAAAGGGGATCCGGGAGGACCTGCTGACCCCAGCAGTGAGTACTGGCCCCTCCTCACACTATCTCCGTGTCTGGGCTGGACACACCGGGATTCCCTTTTACAATTTTATTACCCCCCCTTCACACGCTTGGCTTTCGCTCGGCTTCCATTCCTTTTAAACACAAAGTTCCACATTTGGTAACCCCCCCTTGCTTTCTCTATCCTACTGGTCATGGCTCGGTGGAGCTAGCAGTAGGCAGAGGTGCGGCTAGAGGTCACGCAAAGAGGTGAAATCAGACTGTTTTCCAGGTGGAATCCCACACACACACACACTTCCTCCTTCCCTAACAGAAGGTCCTGTGCTCTGGCAAAACCCCCATGCTCTCCAGACTGTTAGTCTTTCTGCGGCTAGGAAATGCACAGAGGAAGCAAGATCCAGCTGTAATTGGGAGAAGGGCCTTCACTCACACACATGCAAGCATACACAAATTTCCCATGCTTTTCCATACTTTAAAATTAAAAATTTAGAGGTACTCACCTTCTTTCCAAGCAGCCTTTGAGCTCAAACTCAAAACCCCTTTAAAACCTAGTTCCAAATGGCCAAGGTCCAGGAAAACATACCCACAGACTCAATGGGTCTGCTGCTAGCAAGGGAGGCTTACCTGGGCCTGGTCCATTGGTTAGGTTAGCTTGGAGTCCCATCTGGGTCGCCAATTGTTGGAAGAAACATCCTTCTGGGTTCTGCTCCAAGTGGGGAAACAGACACTGGAAACATGGAGACTGCTTGGAAAGATGGTTTAATGGTGGACAGGATCACATGGCTTGAGTTCCTGAACAGAAAAGGGGCTGATACAGTAAATCTTCGGGTTTTTATGCTCTCTCTGGCTCTGCATTTCTTGGGGCCACAAAAGAGTATCCTGATTGGTTGTCAGACTCCCAGGGGGGGGTGGGGTCTTGCTGGCTGATGCAATCTTCCCAGGTGCCATGTGGTGAGCCTCGTCTAGATGGGTCCCATTGTGTTAGTTTCTGTTGCTATTGTGTAGAGGGCTAATCCTATCTTTCGCAATTCCTACTATGGCTCTGCCTGAAGGAGGTAGATCTTTGTTATGTAGAATAGACTGGCCCAGGCCTTAATGGCCCATTGACAAAGGGTGGGGGGGCAGGAGATGGGAGCCACTTCAAAACATGCTTATCCCAGGGAATATAATATTCTGCCTCTTCCACATTTCCCAAAATATTTCACTCCTCCAGGAGAGGGGTGGGTGCCAACCTCCCACAGGCTAAAAACATGTTAAGCTCTCTCCCTAAGCTTTAAGCTCTTTGAAAGCAGCATATGTCAAAAGTATAGTATAGTTAATCTTTTAATTAAACGTATTTCTCAACATATTCCATACCGTTTGCTCAACTTGATAAATGCACCTGAGATATACTGGTGAGATTAATTGGCAGCTCTGTAGGAAACATTGTTCAAGATCAACATGAATGTGCAATCCATTTCATACTACTAAGATCAGTGGTGGGTTTCAAAAATTTTTACTACCGGTTCTGTGGGCGTGGTGGGCGTGGCATGGCTTGATTGGCATGGCTTGATGGGCGTGGCAGGAGAAGGATACTGTAAAATCTCCATTCCTTCCCCAATCCAGGGGAAGGTTACTGCAAAATCCCCATTTCCTCCCAATCAACTCGGGCAGCAGAGAACAGATGGGGGCGGGGCTAGTCAGAATTTTTACTACTGGTTCTCCGAACTACTCAAAATTTCCGCTACCAGTTCTCCAGTATAGTGTGCAAGCTTTGAAAGATCATGACTTTTGTTGCTGAAATGGTTGCACATGTAGTCAAAGGGTGAAAGTTTGGGCACCCAAACTTTGGCCAAAGGGTGAAACACATTTGGGCAGCCCCAAATTGCAACATCATAAATTCTATAAGCCATTAAGATGGCTAAAGACATTTGAATCTAGGTGGGAAGTGCTGCATATATGTAGCCTTGACATTTCTAAAAAGTAGATTATAATTAAATTAATTAAAGGAAATTTTAGTAAACTAAATAAACCCAACCTTTTATACATTTATTATTTTTTAAATATGGCATATATAAATAATAATTTTTCTTCCAAGATCTTAAGAAAGTTTATGTGAGAATTTCCCTTCATTTTATTCCCATAACAACAACATAGTGAGATAGGCAGGGCTGGCTTCTATAGCAGAGAGTAGACTTGAACCTTAGACCTTCCCACTTCTAATCCTACACCTTCACCACTACAACATACTGGATCTCCAATAAATGTTTAAATCAGTGTTTCTCAACCTCAGCAGTTTTAAGATGTGTAGGTCTCAACTTCTGGGAGTTGAAGCCTATACATCTTAAAATTGCTACGATGGAGGAATACTGGTTTAAATCTAATCTTTCAAATAACTTCTATTATTTTTAACATTTACTCCAGTTTTTTAGTTGCTGGTGTTGAGCACTTCCATGTAACATCTTAATACTATTTGGATTATCTGACCTGGATGTGTCTGAACTCATGAAGAGGATTATTTTGGAGAGCTGAACTGATTTATTTTAGGCTCTGCTGCAGTATATTTGGAATGGCAGTAAAGCTGGCTTTTTCCCATTAATTGCCACAAAGCATGTTTGTTATCCATTTTCTTATTGGCAAAAAATCTTTCCTCACCTCAGTTTCTGGTTGCTGGATCCCAAACAGCCAATTATTCTTCCCACCATCTCCAACAAGATTTAATATCTTGTTCTTACAACATGATTGTGCATTGTTTAGGATGTCTCTCTTCTATTTCCTACCAGTTCAGCTGCTTTCACCATAAGCAACCACAGTTAGTTATTAGAGAAAAATGTGTGATTGTAAATTTACTAGTATCGTTTTATCTTCACACCTCATTGGGAGGGTGGGGATTAATTTCAACAAAGAAATGCCAGCTAGGCAGCTAGGAATCTTCCTCTCATAGCAACCACTCAGATTTTTTTTGCAAGGACCAAACAAATGGCACCAGCATATACTGGAAGGGGGGTTATTTATTTCATTTTGTCTGTGTGGAGTCTGGACATTTTTGTTATTCCAGTCCAAAGAGTAGGACAATGGGGTTTTTTCCTCCCATATTGCCATTGGTCAGGTAGATAGGGAATAGCAATTAGTTCATGGTTTTCCCTGCATGTTATTCGCATATTGAGATTAGCGAAAATGATTGTAGCCAGTTTCAAATTGCTTTGTGAAGGACAGGGGAGTGAAAATGGTGAGAGTGTCCTGATAGATATCACCTAGTTTCTGTTTTTAAATATAAATACGAGGAACACTCTAGTCATTAGGATAAATTCTCTCTTATCTATTGTTTTTCTCTAAGGTGATGGCTGAGGAGAGACATTACAATAGGAGTCTTTTGTAACATTTGTAAACAGATCAGAGTAAACCTGACTCTATCTAAACCTACAGTAGCTGTCCTTGACTCCCAGGCAGCTCACATTCAGAATAGACAGTGGACATCTGAGTCCAAAACACATCTATATGGATAACATCTGCTTTGGGGCATGTAAGCATAGAAATATTTTCTCCATCAAGATAAGAAGATAAGAAGGTGTGGGTTTTTTTTTCTTTTTGGTTTGTTTGTTTGATAGTTTATTTGTTTCATTTTTGTAGATGTCGTCTAGTGGCGACTGTTTGGACAAATCCCTGAAGTTTTCTTGCTAAAATTTCAGAAGTGGTTTGCCATTTGCCTTCTTCCTCCTAGCGCTGAGAGAGAATGACTGGCCCAAGGTCATCCAGCTGGCTTTGTGCCTAAAGCAGAACTAGAACTCACAGTCTCCTGGTTTCTAGTCTGATCCATTAACCAGTACTTCAAAGTGGCTCTAAAGAAGAAAGGGGAAGAAAACAGTCATCCTTCTCTAACCTCTGATGAAAATGGGATTCCCGGAAAAAGGATTTTGTGGTTAACAGTTAGGAAAAGAAAACAGCTCTTTCCAGGATTGTCTGTTCCCTATTAGGAATAGAAATCTAAGAACCTCATTAGTAAATTTTATTTAATCTGTATTAAGTCTGGATCCTTATATAGTCTCTTTAGAACAAGTTTCTTTTTATTATGCAAATTTCTGATATTTACTTTTTATCAGTGGTGAAATCCATTTTTTTTAAACTACCGGTTCTGTGGGCGTGGCTTGGTGGGCTTGGTGTGGCTTGGTGGGCATGGCAAGGGAAAGATATTGCAAAATCTCCATTCCCATCCCACTCCAGGGGAAGGATACTGCAAAATCTCCATTCCTTCCCCACTCTGGGGCAAGAGGTAGTATTTGCCAGTTCTCCGAACTATTCAAAATTTCCACTACTGGTTCTCCAAACTGCTCAAAATTTCCGCTATCGGTTCTCCAGAACCTGTCAGAACCTGCTGGATTTCACCCCTGCTTTTTATCTACTATTAGACCATTCCTAGTTTCATTCATTTGCTGGATATTCCCTGATCAGAACAGTTCGGTAAATTAACTTTCCCAAAACTGATTAACTGCATTTTAGTATTTAGAGCTAAAATGGGGTTTGTCTACAAATATTATTTAAAAATAAAAATTAAAAAAGTTGAGTTTTGTTTACTCCCTGCAAAATTGATTTTCCTTCTAAGATCTGTAGTCACACATCTCAATGTTGTATGGCTAGGGAGTGGCACTACAGCAGTTGTTTCATTTATACCACTTTAACTTCTTTAGCCAAGAAGATTGCAGGTTATAGAAGCACAATGTTTTTCACAGCAACTTTTATGACCTAAGCTACCAACAGCTATGGTACTAATGCAATGAAAAGAAAGAAAAAAAGGAAGGAAGGAAGGAAGGAAGGAAGGAAGGAAGGAAGGAAGGAAGGAAGGAAGGAAGGAAGGAAGGAAGGAAGGAAGGAAGGAAGGAGGAAGGAAGTCTTTATTTGTGGCTGCAAGCACATAAATCAGAAATAACCCATAAAGGACTAATCAAATGCTCTCACAAATCTTTGCCCAAAATAAACACAAACAAGAAGCCATGTTCCATTAAAAATGTGACAATAACTTTTTACTGTATTAGCATGGGACATGGGCAAATAGGGGGAGGGGAGGGAAAGTGTTGTTGAAACTTAATTGCTTGCAATAACATGCAGCCTGGCTTTCTTAATACTACTTGAAGACTCATTTCACCACCCACCACCACCCCCAATCTATGAAAACTACAGTAAATTCTGCCTTGGTCAGCCCTTCCTGTAAAGGACAGCATCCCATTTTCCTGCTAGCGACCAGAGATATGCAGGGTGTCCTTTCTAATTGGGGGAGCCCTTCATTAAACCTGTTTCTGCATCTAAAATGGCTGCCAGGACAACCATTTTAGATGCAGAAACAAGTTTAATGAAGAATTCACCATTATTCACAGCCATCTTCCTCAAGAGACCTTGCAACTAATTTAGAAACACCCTGTCTAGAACCAGCGTTCAGGTGATATTTAAAGTTAGCAGAAATAGGAACCAAAGAGTGAAAATGGATAGTTCTAGGCCTGCCCGCAGTTTGGTTAGCAACAGTTTGGGAAAACTTTCAGTTACTGATGGGGCTTACAAGCTTCATTATTTAATTTCTTGCCAAAATCCACCATTCTGTATTAAGCACTGATTAGTAAGTACCGTATTTTTCCGAGTATAAGTCACACTAGTCGATGCTAGCCAGATGAATACCTGGTAGGCAGATTTTTTTTCCCCATTTTCCTCCCCAAAAACTAAGCTGTCTTATACTCTGGTGCCTCTTATACGCCGAAAAATACGGTACATGGATGCATACTAGTTAAGTATGCAAACTTCTGCACTTGTGATTCAGAGACAGTATGGTAGAGCAGTTGAAGTACTGGACTGTAACTGGAGTCTTAGTCTTAAGACAACTGGACATGTCTTAGTCCACGGGTGTCAAACTCAAGGCCCGCGGGCCGAATCTGGCCTGCAGGGTACTTAGATCTGGCCCATGGAGCCATTCTGGAAACAGCAAAGGACTGGCCCACAGTGCCTCTGCCAGCAAAAATGGAGCTTAGGGGGGTTGCCCCCCCCCCCCCCCGAGTCTTGTTTTTGGCCACATACGCCCCCCCCAAGCTCCGTTTTCGCTGGCGGAAGGATGTCAAAACAAACTAAAAGGAAAACAAAAGGAAAACAAAACAAATAAAAGAGGAAATGTTTCCCCTTTAGCACTTGAGCATGCAAGAAGGGACAGGAAAGGAGAAAGGGAAAAAGGAACGACAAAGAAAATGGGAAAATGGGAAGAGAGCAAGGAAGGAAAAATAAAGGGGCAAAGGAAGAAGAAAGGAGAAGGAAAAGGGAAGGAAAAAGAAGAAAAGGGAGGGAGGGAGGGAGGAAGAAAGGAAGAAAGGAAGGAAGGAAGGAAGGAAGGAAGGAAGGAAGGAAGGAAGGAAGGAAGGAAGGAAGGAAGGAGATTATAATGTGAGGGAGGGTCTCAGGGAAGTCCTGTCTTAGCACTTGGCCACCACAGCTGCCCTTGACATGAGTTCCATATCACACACACCATGGCCACACCCACCCCAGCCACACCTGCCATGCCACGCCCCATCACCCCCCACCCCTATGAGGTCAAAAACAACCCTGATGTGGCTCTCAATGAAATCGAGTTTGACACCCCTGTCTTAGTCAGTCGCAGAAGCTCTTTGGTAGACTTGAGACCAGTCTCTCCATCTCTCTCGGCCCAACCTACCTCACAATGTTGTTTTGTTGAGAAAATAAGAGGAAATGCTTGAATTCCATCTTGAACTCCTGAGTGAAAAGTAGCATATCGGTTCTATCAAAGTACAAGCGAAGCTAAACTTGCATAGCAATAGCCTCTGATCTATTAGTGCATTCTGCAGTTGTTGAAATACTGTACACTTCTATCTGAGTCCTAAGGATTGATAGGAGTGCTGGTGGTTTGACTTCTTTTCGTCCAAAATAGCAAGCTCAGATTTTTCCATGGCACTCCAATTGAGAAAAAGCTCACTGTCACTTCTATAAAAATCAGATTGATTCCCAAGATCCCTTTGCAACTAAGTCCTACCGAAATGAGTGTGTGTGTGTGTGTGTGTGTGTGCGCGTGCGCACCAGGCATGAATTTCTGCTGTTCATTTTCAAGTGAGAGTTAAATTAATGCTGTTAATATTGTGCTGCTATAGGGAGTTTGGCAGGAAACATGCTTGGGATATTATAATTGTGAATGTCATTCTACCCCCACTCCTGATGACGAACAGCACGTGGCATTTTCAGATGACCAGCTTTTCCATCTCTCCAACCCTTCTGAGATCAATTCACAGAATTCTAACTTTTTCTGGATTTATTCCCAATTTTCTCTCCATTTTAAAACAAGTCGCTTCAAGTGAAGCAAGCAGAAATAAAATAGATGAGAGTTAATGAGCTGTTTAATTCTGAGGAAGCTGGAGAGGAAGGGGAAAAAAATCTCCCCTTGCTGGGGATGAGCCAGCCTGTAAAGGGTCCAGTTGCAGCTAGCTCACTCATTTAATAATCTTTTTGCTTTACACAGAGATCATTTCCAGCAGTCAAAAATCTCCCCTTCTTTTCAGCAGTCCACAAGCTGAAATGCAAAGTTTTCTACTTACTTAAGTTTTCTTTCCAACCATGGCTTGTCAATTTTGGAGAGAACAACTTCTTGTTCTCAATACAAATCAAATCAAATACAATACAAATCAAATAAACTAAACTAAACTAAACTTGAAATGGAAGTTTGTCGATCATGGAAAGAACAGTGATGTAGCAAGACCTAATTGCATATAGTTAGATCACCAGGATAGCAATAGCATTTAGACTTATATACTGCTTCACGGTGCTTTACAGCCAGGGGAGAAATCCAAAATTTTTCCCTACCAGTTTTGTGGGCGTGGCTTGGTGGGCGTGGCAGGGGAAGGATACTGTAAAATCTCCATTCCCTCCCCTCCTGGGGGAAGGATATTGCAAAATTTCCATTCCCATTCCACTCTGGAGCCAGCCGGTTCTCTGAACTACTCAAAATTTCCACTACCGGTTCTCCAGAACCTGTTAGAACCTACTGGATTTCACCCCTGTTTACAGCCCTCTCTACGCGGTTTACAGAGTCAGAATATTACCACCAACAATCTGGCTCCTCATTTTACCTCAGAAGGATGGAAGGCTGAGTCAACCCTGAGCCGGTAAGAATCGAACTGTCAAATTGCAGGCAGCCAGCAGTCAGAAGAAGTAACCTGCAGTACTGCATTCTAACTACTATGCCACCGTGGC